CTTCAATTGGGATTTATCTTTTACATCAAGAAAGCATTGTCCATAGAAAAGGAGGATAAAGAATATGGTTTTTGCATATCTTTAAATGTTTTTGAATTGAAATAAAATGAATATTTATCCATAGTAATCTTAAAACTGCTTAGTCATATTCCATGTTTCTCAAATAAATTAAAGAGTGTTACCAAAATGGAAACCGGCTTTATTTCAAACCTAAAACAAACATCCCTTTTTCAAACTTCACAAACCATTTCAGATGAGCTGCAGTTTGATAGAAATAAAACTTTGGATTGTGGGTGGTGTTGCGGGTTTTGCCTGAAACAAAAGTCATGGGAATCGCCAAGTAACCTAAACACTGAATGTGACAAGGATGGCATTCAATTTCCGCTTTCCTATTTTTTTCTGTGTTCATACTGCATTACTCCAATATATGTATTTTTATGTTGCAGAAAGCTACCTATTTTAATCATTGGGGTGCTGACCATCCACCCTTTATTTCCATATATGCATTTAGGAGCAACAAAAGGTCTTAGATACTGAAAAGTGGGAGATGTTACAAACAGGCTGACTGTTCTGACCTAAGCTTCCTGATACAGTAAACAGCACACACTTGGTCCCAAAAACCCTCTTTTTATTTCAAATTAATTATGTTAATTCACAGCCCGTAATGAGTCCCAAATAGTTAGAAAGAGTCCTACAGTAGGCTGCCAAAGTCCTTTGGGGTAAGGCTGATAAGCACTCATCTTTATCTTCCTTGACTTAATTGGCAATTAGCTTGGCAAGGCTACAAATAGCAGAGTCAAAACACAGCTTCAGAAGGTAAACTGACCAGCATGAACCAAGTTGCTTCCTGCAAAGGCTCATATGCTATTGCTCCTCCTTTATGTCCTATGGGAGGGGCCAATCACCTCCAATCCTTACTCCAAGTGGTCCCTTGTTTTAACTGTTCTTACCTTCTGGCAGCTCTGCGCATGCACGCACAGGGAACAGGGAGCCTGTTCCTCTGCTTCGTTGCTGTCTGATTGGAGGCTCCGCAGGCAGCACATAACTCCCAGATAGCCCTGGCCCCCTCTCTGCCTCCGACACAGAGCACTTGTCCAAGCCTTCCCCAAATTCCAGGACTGACACATTCCCCAACCTCCTTGCTGTCCGACTCTGCTGCCAGCTCTGCAGGCCGCCGGTGGACCACAACTGTCCAGCTCATTTCTTTTATAGATTTCCCAGCTAACACGACTGTTTCTATAAAAAATTTTAAAATGTTTTATTCACAATTTCTACTTATTCCAACAGTTCTGTTAGTGCTACCAGTACTTCATAGTTCATTGCTTCAGAGCAGAGCAGTGTCATATACTTAGCACACTTGCTATGTCCTTATCAACAATTACACTTCTCTACTGTAAGGAATGTGTATTACACTATTCCCTTTGCTATCCAAATCCCCAAAATCACCGGATTACTCCTAGCTAACCCGTGAGGAGTTGGGGAGGGAAGGGACAGGAACAGTTTGGTCTAGTGGTTAAGGCACCAGGCTAGAAACTCAGAAACTGTTCTAATCCTGCCTTAGGCATGAAAACTGGTTAGGTGACTGACCTTGAGTCAGTTTCTCTCCTAGTTCCTAGGATAAAATTATTTTGACAACCAAGGTGCTCTCACAAGAAGTTGAGCCTTTTCTGAATGTTTTCCTGGCAGCTTCAGATGAAACCCTTCTTCCCCACCTTTGGGCTTGCACCAATTTTAAACTTCTATTACAGAAGACAACTTTTAAGTCTGCCTTTTGCAGTTAGTTTGATTTGTAATTGGACAAAGAGGATTAGGTGTGTGCAAGCTACGATTCAGAGACTCCATTACTGTGAAGTAGCAAGTTCTTTACTATATAAATTTTGGTTTGGCAATAATTGATCCCTTCTGTAGGATTAAAGGACCTATTACATCAATTCCCTTCTTGAAACTTTTAAGACATTCTAGGAATTCCTATATTCTGTAAAAAAAATGCTAGCAGGGTTAGTGATCCTCTTATGGTTGTGTCATACTGTGGAACAATAAGGGAAAATGGGCATCTTAAATGCCTACTGACTATGAAGCTGAAAAGTTGTTTTGACTCAAAGAAAATGAAATAAGAAGTTGGATGGCTAGAAAGTGGGTTATGAAAATCTAAAAGCCAATGAATGTAAATATGAATGTATTATTTATATTTATTAAAGTGGTCTCGCCACAAGGCAACTATTATTTTGTCTGCTCTATCACAGCCAAAGAAAGAAAAAGAACAGCCCAAACCCACTAACTTTCCTATCACTAGTACATCCTTAAAAGAACTATTCTGCAAATTTAAACCAGATAAAACCTTGTTCATTTAAAAAAAAATGCTAAGGAGGGCATTATAAAATGTTGTCTAACAATGCTTGGAAAGATGTAGAAATATGTGGAAAGAATTTCTGAATCTTAGGCACAAGTATGATACATTCGTCTATCCAGTCCCTTGTACTTGATCCATGCCAATTTGTCTATTAAAATCTTGATGTTAATGATGTTTGAAATGATACATATATGCGGTAGTGTTCCCCTCCTTTGCAAGGGTTACAATCCCTTTTAAAGACATACAAGATGTAGAAATATTTGAGAACCATCATTGTGCCACAATTATCATGCTTTGTGACCAATTGCTTAATAGGGAAATGGAAGATCAGCTTCACACTTTCTTGCAAGATAACAATTTTCTGCACCTACTTCAATCTGGTTGTAAACCACATTTTTTACATTAAAATTGCCTTGTCCTGCTCAACATTTGGAACTGCAGCTCTGTGCAGTTGGTCCTTAAAATGAGGTGCTGTATTTCTAAGGCTGCCAGGTAACATGCCTTTGATATTATCTAAGAATTTAATCTCATGTATATTGAAATTAATAAATCGTTATATTTGCATTTCAGCTTTAAAAGCAGATTATCAAAATAGTTTAGCTCCATTTCAGATATGATTGGACTATTTTCTAAGGTCAAGTTTAAAATATGTTTTTTAAAAAAATAAACATTCCTGATTTCTATATAGCATCCACTGTAAAGACAAAACATAGTGTTACAACTTAAGAAGTTCATACTGAGCTATGGGGTAAATGAAACACTGGGATTTTCTTCTAGATCACCAAAACTTTTCTCTCATTTAGTGTCTGCAATTGCCTAGGTTTAATTGTGAGCACATTTATAGGTTCCTTGTTCCGCTTGTTGTTAGTTGCATTTATTTTTCTTTGAAAAGGATCAATTTCCCTGAGGTTGGGCAGCATCCACATTCAGTAAAATAAATAAAACCCATCTTTCCCAAAACTTCATGAATTGTGAGCCCCATATTAAAGCAAATGACAAGTGATATTTGCACTTAAATCTAACATGTGGAGGGACAAGCATGCATATTGAAAAGATATGTTTCTCATCAGTGGCAAACTCAGTCCTACCCAAGAATAGTTTATTTTTCTACACTTATTTAAAATAGCTTCAGAAATATAGCTATTAATACAATTATAGCTAAAGATTTTTTTTATTATTTAAAAGTACAAATTCTGAAACCTGAAAAAACCATTACAAATTTTAAAATTTAAAAGCATGAATGAGAGAACCAATACTGAAGATGGAACTAGCAAATTCCAAAAAAACCTACTCCCTGATCATCATGCAGCTGCTATACACCATATATGGTATGACTAACAGAAAAGAGGCTATTAACATACATTCTTTAAAATATATTTTCTACCAGGCTCTTGAGCTGTATGTTTATGTTGAACCAACTACAGTTAAGGATGATGACAATATTTACTTGGAAACCACATTTGTAGTTTATATGTATTCCTTTTTAGCAATCTCATTTTATGTGGTAACAGCTAAACATCTCTTTTCACAACATGAAAGCATGTTTAAAAAGTCCATTAATCTTTATAGCAAACTCGTTAAAAACTATTCTGAAGAAGCTGATAGGCCCTACTGCTTTTGATCATTTAATCATTTTCACTGCTATTTGCATGAACTAAAAACTGTCAGAATCAGTTTATTATCAAGCATTTCATTTTAAAACTCTTCTGGCAATTTATGATAATCTTGTCAGGTAATGCCAGGTGATTTACTGCAAAGTTCCCTCTCACTACTATTTAATACCATTATATCTTCCAAGAAAAACAAAGGCCTCAGTGAAATATGTAAAATAGCAACCAGTTATAATATATTGTTGAAGAACTATAATGCTCTTGTTTGAAGTGATAGGCCCAAATCTTAGTGGAACTAAAACCAGAACCCCTGGGAGATTTATTGCAAATGCTGATTGTTAAAAAAATGTTAAGCTTTATGAAAACTAAGATGTAATATAAATTTTAAATGTTAAAGACTATTAATATATGCTTCCCTATCAGTCAAGATAATCTCTCTCTAATTAAAGGAGTTAATAAAAATATTTTCCATCTTTCCTAATCATGCTATTTGAAATATTAGAAATTGTTATATGTTTCAATTAATTTCCTTTTTCATAAGGAAACACTTAAAATATTCAGTCACTAATATTTGTTCCTAACAGGAAAAGCAATTTAAAATAAAGTTTTTGGATAATTAGCATTGTTTTATATTAATTAGTGTATAAAAATTATGGATGTGCCATCTAAACTTGTTTTCTTGCAGACATTTCATTGCCCAACTTACCATATTTTTCACAGTATAAGATGCACCAAGGTTTTGAAGAGGCAAATTTTTTAAAAAGTAGGTAGGTAGGTAGATAGAGGGATAGAGAGGGAGAGAAATACAGTAGGGAGAGTGTGTTTGTGTAGGTAGGTAAGTAGAGGGGTATTGAGAGAGAAATAGAGATAAATACAGTAGCCCATTTGGGGGGGGGGGGCAAAAATGACCTGTTTTTTGCTCATTTCTGCCCTCCCCAGCCCCCAGGAGCTGTCTGAAAGCCTCCATAAGGGTATGCACGGCCATTTTGGTGAAGGGGGCAGGGCTTCAGGAGGCAAAAAAATGCTGTATTCGATGTATAAGACGCACCCAGATTTTCAGCCTCTTTTTTGAAGAAAAAAGGTGCGTCTTCTACTCCGAAAAATACGGTAGGTAACACCATTACTTCTAGAAGTGAGGGAGGTTTGTTCTGTTTATGTACAAGTGTCTTGCCCTACTAATGTTGGTGGAAGTGTTCTTGGTGATTGATGATGTTACCCAGGGTTCATTTCCTTGGGTAATGAAACATCTGAAAAAAAAAGAAAAAAAAAGAAGCTCAAATAGCCCCAAGGATCCCACATTTCACCTCAATTCTTATACAATCTTTACGTGATGTTCTGTTGGCAAGAGATTACCACTATGTGCATGCAGAGAAGAGAATTGAACATGTCCAAATAGTACAGGCTGTTACTGGCTTATTTGCAATGCTAGGTAATTTCTGACACTCTTGACAAAAGACATTGATATCAATTAAACCTTAATTTAACATCAAGTTAAAATTAAATCCATTAGAATTCAGATTTTTTCTTAACAGGGCAAAAAGTTGCTATCAAAAGCAAAAATATTATTCAATTAAATCAGGGGTATATCATAGTATTTTCCACTGCTATGTGCAATCTTTTACTTAAGTCTTGATAAATTATCTGCAAAGTATCAAAAATATATGGAAAAACTATTTCATTTATGAATGTTAATATATGTTGGCTAAATGTAACAATAAAAAAAATAAAAGAAAGTAATATAATTGCCACAGGACTGAAGGACCAGAAGGATTTTTTAGCTGGTCTGGTCTCATTGTTACAATTCTGGGTACATACTTTCTGCTTTGAAATTAGCTTTATTTTGGGAATGAGAATTTTGTTAATCTGATTAATTTCACTTTTGCTCCACACATCTTTTAACACCTGTCCTATTCGAGGATGGATTTCAACTGGCTTAATCATTGGTAATGGTTTTTCCCTTAAAATTTTAACACGCTGACGTATTTCCTCAACTTTCTCCAGAAAATGAAGAGGAGACTCTTCTTCTTGAAACGATGTATTTAGTGACATTAGTTCAAGTTGCTCCTCTCGTATTCCTTTCAACATTTCTATGAGAGGTTCATATTCTGCCTCAATTTGCATATTTACATCATCCAGCGCTCCAAGTAAAGCTTGTTTTTTCTGATCAAGGACATCTCCAAGTCTCTTAAAATATTGCAAAACTGTTTTTTTATCCTCCTGAACAATGCTCCCACACTGAGCTTTCTGTTCCTCCAGATTCTGAATAAGCAAACAAACCTCACTCCAATGTTTATCGGTCAACTGCTCAAGGAGTCTTCCAGGAGTTTCTTTTTCTTTCATGTAGGCACTTTGTAGGTCATCTATAGGATGGCCATGATGTTTTCCTATTGTAAGACAATGGCCACACACAAGTTTTTTGTCTAGTAGACAGTAAATATTTAGTGGTTGTCTATAATGCTCACTGCAGGTAGCTACTTCAGGATGATCCTCTTGTTGATACTTTTCAATAATAGCCTTTAATGCAAAGTTTACAGGCAAAGAGTCTGTACCAGATGGAGGAATTTCAACAATACTTCTACAGTTGGGACACTTGAGAGGAAGCCTTAGGGGGCGCCATATGGAAAAATTGCTTGATATTTGAAGAATACTTTCCAAACAATTTCTACAAAATGTATGCGAACATGGCAGAACACGAGGATCATCAAATATACTGTAGCATATAGAACAAGTTAACTCCTCTTCAAAATAATGCATTTCCTACAATTTAAAAAAAGAATAAAAGTGAGATAGAGATGCACAAAAAATAGTTAAGAAATTTTAAAACACTGATAGTTCAAGGAAATTAGTTATTACATGATTCAAATGTAAATAAATCTTTTTAAAAATACAAGCAAAATTAGCCAAAACAATAAATAATTAATGCTTCATCTATTTAGTGTAGGATAGTATCCTAATTACTATTTATCTCTAATATCAATGTTTGTAGTAACTAGACAAGCAAAAAATAATCCAAAAATTAGCAAGCAACAAGATATTAACAAGAAATGCTATCAACTTTGCATCTTATACACATTTCATCATTCCATTATTTTTTTTAAAAAGAGTTAAAATACTAAGCTTTTATTAAGTTTACAGACAAAATAAATCATGGAATAATAATTCAAGAACTAATTCTGCTTTAGTTACCATGTTTTAAGTCAAGCTTAATATTTGTGGGCATAGCCCAAAGCTTCAGAGAATAAAAACAATAGATAAAACTGCTACTATAAAACAGATAAAAATCTACAAAGCCAGAGTTATTAATATCATAAAAACAAGAGCTGATTTTTAACTTCCACCAATAGAGGTGAATGCCTCTGAAATACAATTCTTCAAGTAATTAAGCAGGAGCAGTCAAGATTCAACTTGAGGTTGTTTTTTTGCCAGCAGTGGGATGAGAATGCTGGACAAAATTGATCTAACTACTATTCTTATAGATTGATTCTTGTAATTATGCACTGTTCACTTATCTGTGGAGCAAAAACTTGATTGTTTCAAGAACTGTAGCATATTTTACAGAAAGGCAGCTATATTGGGCCAATCGCAGTAGCGGTTTCAAGTGTCATATAACTTTTTAGTGGGAAAGTGATTCTGTCCACTACAGGTAGAACTATCTACAGTATTCTTAAGCAAGACACAAGGACTTTTAAATAGAAGTAAGTTTCACAACAGTTCTCAACCCTGCAGCCATATCTCAAGTGTCTTCCCGGTTATTCCCACAAGTCAGCACTGGAACCAATAGTGGCTTTCCACAATTTTTCTTTACTTTTCATAAAGCAGAAAAATACAAATAAATCTTGCTATTCCACTCTTCCTCCCACTTCTGGCTCTAAGTTCCATTTGCTTCCACAGAAAATAGTGGTATTATTAAGAACCTTATCTATGTGATGTCTAACATATCCATAATAACTAAGTCAATGGTGCCCAAGAAGAGGAGGAACACTGACCACACATGCAAGTGGGTGGCAAACCAATGAAGGCCTAAGATATATGTGCATGAGCTTACAGCATCAGCCATGGCTAAGATCTCAGTATTACTGGCATACTTATTTCTTTAGGAGGCAACAGATGCAAAACATTTGATGGAAGGTGTAATGTCCTCAACTTGTGACCAGTCTTAAGTTCTCGACTTACTATCGACTGCAAGTCCTCGACATACGACTGACAGCCCGGCAACCAAAGGCTCGTGCCTATTGGCTAAGATGCGCCTGGCTGGAAGCGGGCTTTTTACTCTCTTACCATTGGTTGCTCTGCTTGACAGCTCCCATATAAATAGCTGTCAAGCAGAGCAAGGTGCTGAAGTGTTCTGCTGTTCCTCTGTTGGTTGTTAATCACAATAAAGTTGTTCCTTTTTTACCTCAGCCAGTCTGTCGCCTTTTCTGTCGGTCCAGACTTCTACAGAAGGTCTAAACAAACTGGGGTAGAGGGATGTTCTGACTTAGTGGTTAACTCATACAGACTACTAGTCTATAGCATAGAGCCTTCTCAGAAAACATACTTTAAGTCTTTGCTGATCTCCCTCCTAACCCTGTAAGGTGGATTCAGCTGAGAGTGACTAACCCAAAGTCACCCAGCCAACTTTTATGCTTAAACTAGAACTCAATCTCATGGTTTCTAGGCCAGCACCTTTATCAGTAGTCCTCAATCTCAATCCCCAAGGATCAAACGTTTGACTACAACTCCCCAAATTTCAATCCACAATGACCAAATAATAAACAATCATGTTGTAAAGAACAGAAGACCAAGGAAAGCTGTTTTCATATTCCTAAGCTTCATCTGATTTAGTAACAGTTTTATCAGGGTATGATCACTGTTAATTGGTGATGGCCAACAATGCAGATAATAGGCAGTCCTCAATTTACCATTCCTTTAGTAACTATTTAAAGTTACCATGACACTGAAAAAAGTGAACCGTTTTTCACACTTACTATCTTTGCAGCATCCCCATGATCACATGATCGAAATATCGATGCTTGGCAACCGGCATGTATATAAGTAATCTTTTATAGAGCGTGTATATATGAGTTGCCCTGTCCTGGGGTCATGTGATCACCATTTGTAACCTTCCCAGCTGGCTTCAAGCAAGCAATGGGGGAAGGCAGATTTGCTTAATGATCACAATTCCCTTAAAAACTTTGACAAAAAAGGTCATAAAATGGGGCAAAACCACACTTAACTGCCTTGCTTAGCAACGGAAATTTTTTGGGTTTGATTTGTTACCATAAGGCAAGGATGACCTGTACCGCTTGCAAATTTTCTGAATACTTCTAGTTGGCCGTGACCAGCCAGAGAAAGCTGAACTGATAAGAATCCCAAATTCAAACAAAAGAAGGAAAGAAAGTGGAGTAAGGAAAAGTATCCTTACGAAGTTACGCCTGCCTCTTCTCCAGTCAGTTAGGTGCCAGGCAAAACCTCCCCCCACAAGAGCATCTATCTTGTCTAAAGAGACAGTGACATTCCCCAAAAGAAAAACTCACAGGGCGAGAGATTAGCGATGACCATAAGGCAGGGATGCTGACAATCCCTGCCTTTAAGTAACCTGTCAGCTCCAGAAAACAAAGGGTACACTAATTGCAATTGAATCCACATAGAGACGACCATATAGAGACTGATTGACAGAGCCGAAGAAGCTTCTTGGATGAGAAGCGACACGTCTTCAAGGAAAATCAAAGAAAGTCCAGTTGCCTCTTGGAAGAAAAGCACCTTTGGGATAACTCTGACCTGGATGACTGGGGAATCTCCATTGACATATAGAGACGAACAGTCATCTTCCGATAAAACCTCCCCTTCGCAACCGAAGTTACTAGAGCAGCGTCGAACTCTTTCAAAATCACCTCGGTCCCTCTCCACTCACAGGTCACTGAGGGACCGAAGAAGCAGGAACCGTCCCTCGCTTCGTTCTTAAGCAAACAGGCACGGCGCCGATTCCCTCCCCACCCACCCCCCTTCTCCCCGCCGTCGGAGTTCACCTCAGCCTCCCGCCGGATTCCCGAAGCGCCAAGCAGGCCGCCGGTTCCCCCAAACTTCTCTTGTCGCGGCGAAGGAGCTTCCCCCCCACCGGAGACGGCATCGGCGGCCTCCTAATGATGCTCCTTCACCCGCTTCCAATCAGAAGCAACAGGAAAGGAGTAAGAAAACGGCCGGGCCGCTTCGCTGCTACGCACGCGCTGAAAGAAGCCGAGCCGGCCTCGAGCCAATCAGAGTTCTCGGAAGCTTTCGTTCAAAAAGGAAAGGAAACGAGGCGGGAGGGTGGACTGCGAGGCATTTCACCGCGAGATGGCCGTTAACGGTTGCCCGAGTGGGCGGTGCTGGAATGTAATTTGCATCTCTTTGTTGTTGGGCCTCACTTAACCGCCCGAGGTTGTTTCTCTCCCCCCCCCCCCCGAAGATTGTCTGGAAGACTAGGAAACAAAACGCTCGGTTCTGTCTTTCAAACGTTCGCGATTTTAAAATGAGGCCGAAATTAACACCCGCATCCGAAAGCACGCCGAGGTGCTGCAAAGTTTGTCTAGTTCAGTGTTTCTCAACCTTGGCAACTTGAAGATGTCTGGACTTCAACTCCCAGAATTCCTCCTCTCGCTCTTCATCTTGATGATGTGCAGATGGGCGGGGGAGGGAGATGGAACCTGCCCCTCGGAAATT